GGAAAGAGCTGGCTTCATGGCTTTCTCCCTTTTCTCTAACCTGCTGGTCAGCTCCACGTGCCTGGATGCCCCAGACTTTTAGGCATGAGCAGTTAAACACTGCTCCCAAAGGGAATGTGCTACTGGGCCCATTCCCCTCCACCCTGCAAGGGGTCTCACTCCAGCTTGGTAACAGGGGTGGTCGCAGGTGCACCAGCGTGCTTTCTGGTGGTTGCCGTTTCGTTGAACCACAAGCCAGCGTGGAGATAGAGCTGGGAGTCAAAGCATCCCCTTCCCTGCATCAGGTCTGTCTTTTCATTCCCTGCCTTGGATTTGATGCCATGAATTGTGGTTTCGGGAGGGTTTTCTTTTTTGCTTGTGGTGGTCAATCTGGAGTTCTGTGCCATGCCACAGGGAGCACCGTCACTCATCCCTCCATGAGGTCAGAGCCACTGCGTGGGAAGCTTTTGCTGACTGCCAGAGCAAGAGACTGGGTCTACTCCACCCTGCCTCGTCCTCCTAGGCCATTTCCCTTCCCCACACTCTTCTCCCCAAATCCACGCTGGCCTAGGCCAGGCAATCGCCAATGAGAGCTCACTGCCCTCTGCTCTCACAGTGAGGTCTCCACACAAGATCCATTGCGGTGGAGGTGACGGTGGTCATGGTTCAGGCAGCCTTCGTTGCGGTGCACAATGAGGATGGGGAAGTAGAGGGCGTCCTGGTAAGGAGGGGGGTCTTCCTCCTCCACAGTAACCTGACTAGAGAGGCGGGTCTGCTCCGTCGGGCAGCTCTGCTCGTTCAGGCTCCCGCTCCGGCTCTGCCAGAGGCAGCTGCGTCGCGAGCCATACAGGCGACCCAGCGAGAAGCGGCTGCTGCTGAAGGGGATCCTGGGGCTGCCATTGCAGATGCTCAGGGCGCTGCGGGAGAAGATGGAAGAGCTGCTTATAGTCCTGTGACACCGCTCGCAGTTCTGCCGATAGCCCCCGTACCGGCAAGCGGAGTAGCTAGTGCAGCCAGAGAGCCCCACCAAGTCCATCAGGACCGCTTCCGAGTAGCTGGGTACCAGCTGCTGGTTGGACCGGATGTGCCACTCCAGCTCGGTGCTGTCCACCGTGTTGACGCGGGGCATTCTCCGGCAGAAGGAGCGCTCCTCAGCCGGTGTCACCGCCACAAAGTCAAACCCAAAGAGTTTCTCCACGTGGTAGTGGACATAGGAGGTGCGATACTCATTTAGCACCCGTAGGGGCCAGGATAGGGTCAGCAGGGCGGCCACCCAAAAGACGTAGTGGGATACATACCAAGGCAGGTTGTCTGGGTCAGAAAAGGCCACCATATATTCTTTGAAGTCCACGTTTTTGAGGTGCATCCCCTCCCTGGCCTCCATGTAGTCATCCAGGCCCTCATTCTCTGTGAAGAAGCGGGCCCGCTGGGTCAGGTAGGAGTTCTCCGACTCCACATTGGCAAAGCTGAAACACTTGGTGAAGCGGAGCCGCGTGGCCGGGTAGCTCTCTAAGTCAATGAGGTCCTTGGAGATGTCCTTAACTCCACAATTGGAATAATCAAATTCGGCCTCTGCCACATGGGTGTTGACCCGCTCATGATACACTTGGGTGGTGGTGTAGGCATCCCCATTGCGATAGCGGGTAACCTGTCGGGTCCTCCGGACATAGTGGTAGCTGATGGCTTTCCACCAGATGCACGGGGTTGCCTGCTGCATCCGCTGGACACGCTCGTGCACACTCTCCACATCTACCTTGTACTGCAGTTCGTTGCGGGTGTAGCAGTGCCAACACTCCACCAGGTACACCACATACAGCATCACCAGGAAGGCCAAGGGGATGTAGACATAGCCATTGGAGCACGGGCTGTCGTGGTACATCATGGACTTGCCCTTGTAAGCACTGTCAAAGGTCAGACGCGTCACCTTGGTGACGTGGCACCAGGTCATGGCTCCCATGCAGCCATACATGAGGAGCGACAGCAGCAGGCATTTCCAGTGAGACTCTCGGCACAAGGACTTGCTGAGGGATTGCTTCACCGGCCGCTGCTGCTCCAGAGAACCAGGGAGAAGGGGAGAGAAAGCAAGAGGAGAAGTCAGTAGCCCACAGTGGAAAGGGAAAGGCAAGCAGGTGACAGGATGCCATGGGTAGCACTTGTAGCTCCCCAAATGGAGAAAAAGAGAGCACAATCCGGTGGACTCCTAACCTCAGCCAGCAGGCTGGAGGCCAAGGTCTCTCCCAGGATGACAATCCCACAGAGCAGGTAGCTGTCCCCTCCCCGCTGTGCCAAAGGCACCACATTTCCTTTGCTGTGCTCAAACTCTCCATTACTGCTACCAATAGCAACATGCAAGTTTCTCCTACCAGGACAGCACAAGGGTCTGGGGTACATATAAAAACGTAGAGATCTCCTGCAGCTGGAAGGGCCTCTGTTTCACAATGGTCACACTCACAACAACATTCAGCAGCCCAGAGGACGATGAAGTGCTTCTAAAGTGCTTTATAAAACACAGAAACAGAAAAACACTTTTCCGTAACCAAAATGCAGCTACCTCTGGCGTGAGAGAAAGTAAATATTGAATCACATCCTAAAAGGTGTTCAGACTGGAAGCAGAGCGCACCCTTTTGATCTGCAACAAACAAGGAGGGGCAGGAGGCAAGGCATGGCTGGTGGCAAACGTAATTGCTTGCACTGGGATTCATGTGTGAAAGCCTGGACTTCTGGGAAAACTGCTCTGAGGTCTTTAATGATGCGGAAGGAATATCTGCAATAGGACTGCCCAAAGATACTGTACCAGTGTGTTCACTATAAAAACCACACAGGGTTTGATAAAGACCTGTCTAAGGAAATCCCTCTCATATTCTGCAACAGCCTGGAGTCTCAAATATTTATCCAGCACATGCCTGTGCGGTCAGTGAGACCTGACGTTATCAAGCCCAAAGGGAGAAGCATAAAAAGAGGTTGTCTGCTTTCTTACACAAAGGACAACACAAACTTTATCCAACATGTGTGTCATCCAACCCAGAGATCCCCAAAGGTATGCCCCGAGAGAAGAAGCAAGAACCCCAGCCTTGTGCAGGTGCCACAAAATTCACTAAGCTTTGCTTATTTGCTCTTTTCAGCTTTGCTTTCCTTCTCCAACAGCACGCAGCATGGGTTCAGGCACCTCTTTCTCTCCGAGGTGTCTTACTTACGTCCTGAACTTAGTTATCCTCTGAAAGTCAATGCCTCAAGACATCAGAGGCCATGCTGCCTTTGCCCGAGTCCACCTCTCCATTTGCAGGGGCTTAACACGGCTATAATGATGCTGCTCATGGCAACGAAGTCTCAGCCTGGCCCCATCCCTCCTCTGTACCTGAGCATACTTGGCTGAAGAGCCAGGTGGCTCAGAGCAGATCCAGGGCGGGGGGACAACGACACACTGCTGTGAGTAATGAGAGCTTCCTGGAGCTGATGGATTAAAACTGCTGGGTCCTGTGAGCTCTTAAATCTACCTTTCTTAGTAGCCCCTGATTCTGGCCTGGGACAGGACCCCAGGCCAGACAAACCCCGGCCCTCAACAGATGCTGCAATTCTTTATGCCTCTTTCCCTAGGATCAAGAAGTCATGAGCTCCACATAGTTTCCTGTGCGGAAACTAACTAACAGCGGTCAACTGGATGAGTCCCTGGCAAAGACAGCTCTATCTAATCTCCAGGAAGGGAAAATAGCCCCTCACACTCCTAGATGTCAGGGATTACTCCATCATGCCTAGCCAGAAAGTCTCCTTTTTCCCCTCTTGTCACCTTCTTCTACTGTCCCGGGGTGCTCCAGGCCTTCTTTCTCTGTTCCAGATGAAGGGCTGGGGTGCCCTGTTAACCCAGCACAATTAAAGCAGACCAGGAAATCCGCAGCAGTGGCTGCATTTCAGGAGTAACGGAACAACGCTTCCCCGTACCAAATGTCTTCTAAGTTATCCTACTCCCTTGCTACTGTCTCCTCTTTGTAGTGCCTAGGAGCCCTAGGCAGGGACCAGGCTCCCTGACGCGTCAGGTGCTGTGCAAACTTTGCCTGCTGAGAAGGCAAAGATATGCCAAGAGGTAGATCCACACAGACTGCGGAGGCCAAGAAATGCTAGAGCTCAGGTTGGCACGCCAAGACTGAGTAGCAGCACAGCTCCTGCAGATGCTGCTGTTATTTCTTTAGGTCCCTGGGAGAGCTAATCTAGAAGCAGTTGTTTGAATTTAGGCTTCTCACGTAAAGCCTGCTTGCCTGTTCTACTTGGACTCTACAAGTTGCACAGCACAGGCAAAGCTCCACTGCTTTCCAGACCACTAGACCTCTGAAGTCTTTCATCCAAGGATCCCAGGGTGCTTAATGGATTCATGATGCTTGAGAGGGTGGTCACTTTTGCTCGTTGCAGGAAAAGGAGATTTAACGGAGGAACCGCAGGTCACAAAGCCATTGGCAGGTCTAGGAACAGATCTAGGCCTCCTTTCCTCCAAGTACTCTCCCCTGCTCCCCTTGAAGAGCCTCTGTACCCTGGCTTGCTCCCCTAGAGTCCTACATGCTAATCCTTCCTCCCTGCACCTTGCCAAAGCATGGTCCTCCCCATGCCAGTAGGATTTCTGCTACTGTGATTAGCAGGGCTGGATCTGGCCCAAATCTCCAACAGAGATTTTTCTCTCCGAGGCAGTGAGCTTCCTTTTTCTCCCATCCCCAGCAGCCAGCCTTTGATGAGCGGAGCACACAGCCATGTGCAGACAGCACATCCAAAGGGACTGCTGCCGAGCGGTCTGGCAGCAAGGGGAAAGATGGCACATATCTCTGGGGGTCCCAAGCATCAAGAGTGCTGAGCCGTCCCTCTTCTGCGGTAACCAGCTGACAGCAAGAGCCGGCAACAGAGACGCACAGCCCAGAAAAGGCATCTGGGGTGGTGCTGGTCTCCAGGCAACAGGGAGAGGTGTGAGATGGCTCTGCCCGTGAGCTTCACTGACGACAAGCACACCCCAAGGTCTCCCCTATGCAACCCACAGCTGCAGCAGCATCATACCTGCAGGTCATGGGGGAAAGGAGGGAACCACAGGGAAGAGAAAAGGGAGCAGGGAGAGGAAGGAGGAGATCATCTAGTGGAAAGAGCTGCCTGAATTGCCCCAAGCCCTCCCAGCTCAGGCCCGGACTGCAGTTACAAGAGCCTCCCCAGATCCCTCTGTGCTTCGCTCAGCTGCTCAGCCCTGATGCACCAAGGCTCTCCTGCGTTGTACTGCTGCGCCACTACAGAGGCTGCTGAAGGCTTCCTCTCCCATAGCTGCCTTCTGTGTTGCCAGTCTTTCCCAGCAGCAGCAGGCATCCCTGGCGTGAGACACCAAAGGAACGACTCAGCTGGAGGAGGAAGCAGGGGGTCTGAGCAGGGGCCTCAGGGAGATACGAGGGATACGTTAACCCTGGCGTGTATGTTGGGTGAACAGGGCTTGAATAGAAACAGTGCTTTGTTGAGGGGGGTTCTGCAAATGGAACGTAAGGAATAAGGCAAAGCATTCAGGCTACTCATTTGATAAGTTGAGGAAGGGGCACCAGGCCAGCGGGGAGACAGGCCTTCAGCCAGGTCAGTCTTGGAAGAGCCAATTCTGTGTCCCAGTCACTCCCTGACCCCTCGCATCCTGCACTGGCTGTGTTGTTCTGCTCAGGGGACAGCTGATGCTTGCTGTAGCCCTGCAGAGATCCCAGCAATCTCCGAGATCCCATTGCAGTTTCCTACCCAGGGCACGGCAGCAGGGAGAATGATGCAGCCGAGGCTTGATTCCAGGAACTGTGTTAGCAGGGCTGTAGTCCATGCATTAGTCTCCTCCTAAGACTACGCAGCATTTAGGTACTGCAGCACTTTTACAGGGTCACACTAACCCGTGCTGTAAACTGTTTACAGTCCAGTTTTGTTGTAGGCTTTTGAGGTAAAACATATACACATCGGTTGCACCAGTGGGGTCTCTGAAACCTGCCCAAAGCTGATAAGGTGCAATAACCGGGGATACAACCACAGCAGAGACAGGGGAGGAGCTAGCTGCAGAGTCTAATCTCAGTGGGAACTGCAGCATCCCTGCTCCTCTCCCTGGCTGTAAAGGAGCACAGGAGCAAACACAACCAGCTCTACACCTTCCCCCGAGAAGCAGCTCAATAACATTGCCTCCCCAAGCTCTTAACCAGCCCTGGAGAAGTCCAGAATGGCAAACAAGCAAGCATGCAGATGAGAAAGCTGGCGAGAGGGAATCCTTTCTGTCCCAGAACAGCGTCACTAGGAGGAGTGGGATCCATGCTATAAATGCCATCGTGATCTGCCCGCTGCAGTCTGACTGAAGGAGGCGAAAGGTTTGCCCTACTTCACTGTAAACAGGGTTTCCCTCTAGCTGAGATCACCAGGAGCCTCCCCCATTACTCTTGCTTGAACACTGGAAGGTGGTAAGCAAATCTTCTTTTGCAGGTGTACCTAAACATCTCTGCAGTGTTGGAGGGCAGAATTGGGTCAGCCATGGCTTGGTGAATGCCTTTGTGTGACCTCTGTCAACTCCCTTATCCTCTCTGTGCTTCAGTCCCCTCCATCATGTAAAACACAGTAGATAACCATCACCAGGTGCCTGGGAGCTGGCTTTCACTGTGCGTGTGTGTAAAGCACACTTGGAAAAGGCAAGGGATACGTTATTAGAACAGCCTGCCTCTTGGGCCTCGTGCAAGTGACTGACATTGCCCCAGGTGAAGCGAGATGGAGTCCTATTCCTGCGGCCGACTGCTCTGGGGTGAACAGGAAGGGATGGAGGAGGGGATGACTTACGAGCAGCCATGAAGTGAGCAGAGATGCCCACAATGCATGGGGCAGAGGCAGGAGAACTCCTGCTCCTTTAAGCACCCCCTGACATTGAGATCTGGCAAATCCTCTTCTCAAAGAAGCCACAAGGGGACCTACCTGCCCAGAACCCAAGTGGCTAAGCACGTGGACAAGAATACCTTCATCACCCCTACCTCTGTGATCCTGCAACTTTGCACACTGAACTCCAGAAGTCCTTCAAACTCTACAGACCTCTTCTTCGAAATGTCCCTGGCCACACCTACAGTCCCTCCATTTAACAAGTGTTCCTGGTCTCCTCCCTTCCTGTGCCTCTCACCTGCCTCTCCTTGCAGAGACCAGCCTGAAGTCTTTGATTCACCCCTAGAACCCTAAGCCCTCAATTTACAAGATGGCCCAGGGTTCACAGGGTTACATGTCCTAGAGACAGCCCCTACAGGGCTTAAAAAAAAAAAAAGAATCCAAATCCCCAGAGCAGCAGCCTCAAGGCCCAGGTCGCTCCTAAGTGCAAGACTGTGGCAGCAGCTTGCAGGAGACTCCACTGGGACTGCTGAGCATCAGTTAGCATGGCTCTGCCCTACAGATTTGCTTGCATCATACAACAACATTTGCCCCCTTTGACATTAGATCCCCAGGACAAGGCAGATGGGGAGGATCCAGTCAGCTCTAGGAACTGCCACCATCTTTCAAGGCACTGGGCAGATACTGGCAACCCCTGGTCAGGACAGTACCAGCAATTCCCCAAATCATGCCCTACATGCCTACAGCCCAGACTCAGGGACTATCTACCTAGAAGAAACAGCTGGCTTAGCCCCAGGCTGGCAGCACTGCCAACTGCAGAGGAAAGGGAAAGGCTAAGCATCTAGGAGCCAGGGAATCCTGCCAGCAGGCAGCTCCTGCAATAGTATCAAGGTCTCCATTTTACAAGCAGTGTAGAAGAGGACTGATCATTCCATGGGATCCCACCTCAGCAGCAGGGACAAGGGAATTCTTTTAGCTTTTTCCCAGCCTGAAGAGCTTGTTCCATGACTTTTCACACCCTCCCAGGTGGCGATGCATTGCTGAGTGATATTCAGCTCAACAGTGAAGCTGCTAAGCATAGGTGTATGCATGTGGTACCAACAGGAAACAAAGGCTCGAACTGCATAGTAGCCCTTCCATAGCCGGCTCTGGCTTGCTTCTTGCCTTGCTGGGACTAGCTGAGCAGAGCCTGAAGCCTTACAGGGCTCCTAAATATGCCGATCTGGGATATGCCAAAATGAGGCACCCTCAAACAGAACAGACCTCATTTGCCATTTGCCAGTTCCCAGATATGCCAGTTCCAGCTCCAGATATGTCAGTTCTAGCCCAAGAGTCCTTACAGGCGGGCTTCAGATATGCTCCCTGGACACTCAGTAGTATTGACAGGAGTAGTGGGTCCTGACAGGAGTGGGAACATCCCATTGCCAGAGGGAAGTTAGGCCTTACACAGGAACCATGAGGAAGCAGGACATCTCCCCCTGATATTGCTGGGGATAAGAGCATAGATCTAGATCAGTCCATGAATCCAAGCTCCCCCTATTATGCCACTAAGGTCACTTCTCATTGCATCAGATAAGACTCCAGCAAGCATAGGCACTGTAAAGAGAGGGTGAAGCTTCCTCCTCCTCTACTGGCTGCTTCGTGCAAGAGTCTGTGATAACTGCTGGCTGCGGGAAGCATGCCCTTAGCCTAAGCAGCACAGGTCATAGACCCTTCTGTCTGCTCCCACAGGGTAAAGCTATACTGACACCCTAGTTGGCAGCCTCAGCAGAACAATCAAAGACCAGACGATCCTCTTGTAATCTCTGTGAGGCAGGGGATGTTGTAGGCACGGGAAACTCAGCCCGGCAATGCCCCTGCTATGCTTGTTTCGTCCAAACAGGCTCTCATTCTGGCACCTCTCAAAAGCCACTGTGCTCTCTTGAATATGGTACTGATTCACAAAAACAACCAGCGAAGGAACACAGGCCTGTCTGAAACAACACACTTGGCAACCCCTCTGGGAACCCGGAATTGTCAGAGCCTGCTCAGGGCACAGAAGGCAAGAGACTGCTCCAGCATGGCATAAGCACGTGCTTAACGCTAGAAAACCACCTCACAGGTTAGCTACAATGGTCAGGATCTGCTTGGAGACCCTGGACTCAGGACAGCAGGGGATGGTTGAATGGTAGAAGGAAAAGAGGAACATCAGCAGGGAGGAATATAAATAACTGTGTAGCTTCCCATTCCTTGAACTTCAATATTCCTCTCTCACAAAAGAGGAACATCAGCAGGGAGGAATATAAATAACTGTGTAGCTTCCCATTCCTTGAACTTCAATATTCCTCTCTCACAAAAGAGGAACATCAGCAGGGAGGAATATAAATAACTGTGTAGCTTCCCATTCCTTGAACTTCAATATTCCTCTCTCACAAAAGAGGAACATCAGCAGGGAGGAATATAAATAACTGTGTAGCTTCCCATTCCTTGAACTTCAATATTCCTCTCCCACAATTATTTTTATCTCTATATAAGTCTATATATTTAGGATAAGTATGTACGTACATGCATGTTCTTCCTAAGCTACAAAAACAGAAAATACGGGGATTATGCAGCACTTGCTCACCGCAGCTCCTCAAATAGAAGAACACAAGTGATGCGCCAGCTTTCGAGCACCCTACCAAGCTGCCCTCTGAGCTGTGTAGTCACAGGTGAGGACAACTCACCAAGCCAGGGTAACACTGCCCTTCCCACATTGCCTAGCTGTCCACTGTGTGCCACTGGCCCCCATGGTGTAAGGTGGGTCTTCCTAGTCCACGTAGCTGCTTTCATTCCTCTTGGGAACCCCAACCTGCAAGTGTGATTCGTGGGGGTAAACAAAGGGGCTCACACGCTTGCCTCCCCTGTGCTGCCTCCTATGCACAATCCATGCCGCTCCTTACCCTGTGGCATCTGCTGCCCGGACTCTAGAAAAACCATCAGCTGGGGTGAATTGCAGCTTACCTGCAGGCAAAGCTGTGCTGCTATCCAGCCTGCCCTAGTCTGCACCCCGTGTCATCCTCAGCCAACCCCCTCAGCAGCAGCAGCCACCAGGGTCAATCCTAGGATTCAGCATGTCCCCAAGCCCTCTGCCCTGCTGCCAGCCAAGCCTTCCCCAGGCACCTGTGCTACCTCCAGGCACTCCACCAAGCCACAGGGGAGGAATTTTTTTTTGGGGCCGCCCGTATTCATTTTTACCAGGCATGACAACCTCCTCCTGCTGCAGTAAGTCAGTACCTTGTGATTTTCTCTTTTCCTCCTAAACCCCAAATCATCCACTACCTTCACATCTCCTGCTTTCCCTCATCACGCCAGCAGGTCCGCTCTTTCCAGGTGTGGAAAGCACAGGCTCCAAAGCCATGGCGATGAGCGCAAAGAGCAAGCCGAGGGCTGGAGGACGGGGACAGGCAGCGGCGGTGGACCACGGGCAGGCAGCGTGGTGGCCGAAACCGGAAGGAGGACAGACGGACTGGCTTCCTCAGCCCTCCTCGCCGGCCCCAACTGCAGTCAGGCAGGACAGAGGCGGCTCCTAGGGGCACCTGAGCCATCCCGCGTCCT